TCCGGTTTTATTTTCTGGCGACTCTCTATCTCCCGCTAATCTTAAAAATTGAATGACAAAGTGGAAAAGAAGGAAAATGGTGATGATGAAAATAATGAAGAAGGAAGATGTTGATGGAGATGAAAGATGACACAAGATTATGAAGATGGAAGGAGTGAAATTGATGATGATGATGATGATGAAGATGGAAAGAAAAAGAAAAGGGAAAATTGTCAAAGAGGTCCACGTACTTTTAACAAAAAGTCAATTGAGTTCATGTACTTTTTTCCGAGTCAATTAAGTCCACCAACTATAAAAAAACAACCAAATCAGCTTTTTAGTAGGTAATCAACCGGTTACCCGGTTAAACGCCTACGTGGACGTCCGAGCTGACATTTTTTACTGATTTTCAATTTTTTGGGGGGAAAACTGTCAAATAGGTCCACGTACTTTTGACAAAAAGTCAATGGAGTCCATGTACTTTTTAAAACATCCTAAACTACACCGTTATTAACTATAATTTCAAAACACATACCAATGGAATTAATATTTGCATACAAATTTGAATAGTTCTATTTTACTGTGAAATTAGATTACAACCCTAATTCAAATATCTTTGAAATTACACACTGTTTTTCAAAGTAAATCGTTAGAATTTAATCGAAACCACAACAATTTTGCCAAAAAAATTGAAACCACAACAATTGCATGAATAAATTAATGTTCATTTTTTTGAGTGATGCAGATACAATATCTTGTTTTCATTTTGTTTTTAATATATGAATGAATTATATCCACCTTGGCAATATAAATACATATTTATTTTGTATTTCTTTATAAACTATCTAATATGTTGGTCTTTGTGCCAAAATATTCGTATGAGCCAAAATTTATTTTCATATAGCCACTATTATCTTTTTATATTTGATAAAAATACACATCATGTATCATCGTAATAAAATATAATTTCAAAAAAAAACATTTATTCTATTCTAGATACTCCATGCATCGCACGGGTACTTCGTCTAGTATGTATATTGTCTAATTTGTAAAAACATAAAGACCGCACATACAAGACGGACAATTAGAAGATTAAATCCTTATACTTCCTAGTATTTATTACATAAGTGATTCTACATTGAATTACCCTAATTAATAACGTGTTATCTTAAAAAAATTGATCCATCCAAATGTTTCGAAATATATATAGAGCACGCCAACCTCGTAGTTGGGTAAAAGACATGGTCATTTAGTTTGAAATTTCCAATCTCATATAGTTGGTGGACTTAATTGATTCGGAAAAAAGTACATGGACTTCATTGACTTTTTGTTAAAGGTACATGGACCTATTTGACAGTTTTCCAAAAAATAAAAAATAAAATGGAAATCAGTAAAAAAATGCCAGTTCGGACGTCCACGTCGTAGGCGTTTAACCGGGTAACCGGTTGATTACCTACTAAAAAGCTGATTTGGTCGTTTTTTGATAGTTGGTGGACTTAATTGACTCGGAAAAAGTACATGGACTCAATTGAATTTTTGTTAAAAGTACGTGGACCTGTTTGACAATTTTCTCCTTAAAAGAAACAAAAAGAAAAAGACTAAGTGGGAAGGGGGAACCATAGGGAGAAGAAAAGAGAGACCAAAAGAGTGTGGAGGAAAGATGTTATTTATAGTGTGTATTGATGTGTACATATGATATGTACAAAGAGCATTTTTGTTACGGAAAACTAAGAAACTTGTAGCCCAAAGAAAAAATCTATTGGTATACACTATTGGTACACATTCTTACACACTCATGTTTGTGAAGGCTTTTTTTTATGTCTGTCGCAGACAAAACGTATTTGACAAATACATTTTGTCTGGGACAGACATAAAAAACGTCTCACAGACATGAGTGTGTAAGAGCGTGTACACAAAGTGTGTACCCCAAGTCTGATTCGTAGTCCAAAACAACAAAAATACTATTGGTACACACTTTTTGGGTACACACTTTTACACACTGTCTGTGCAGCCTTTTTGTCTGTGCAGACAAAACGTGTTTTGACAGCCAAAACGTGTTTTCGTGAAAGTGTGTATCCCAAAAAATGTATTTTTTAGCTGTCAAAACACGTTTTGTCTGTACAGACAAAAAACTGCAAAAACATTTTGTAAAAATGTACCCAAAATGTGTGTACCCCATCCAACTCCAAAAACAAATTTAATGTTGATGACTACATCTAGAAAGAAAATCATTGTAGTAATGGATCCAACTCCGATGTGGATGTCATGCATAAATGTAATGGATCCAACCCATTACATTAATTTAGATATATATGGTCCCAAAAATCAATCCATTTTTTGATATCTCCAGCTCTATCCTCTCAAGTCCCAAGGGTATTCTTACCGACATGTTTTTTTGTGTCGCGGACGTACCCTTTAAAATGATATTCTCTAAACAAAGAAATCATTGTACATTTTTGTTTATGTGGTTTACTTAAAATTGAGATCAAACATACTCTTGTTGAGTCACACACTAGCAATGAGCATTTTCCTAAACTATTATAAATAGAAGTTTTTTGAATAAAAAATGTGACTAAACTCATTATTAGTATACTTTGATCATCTTACGATAGTAAAAATTGAACAAAAGTTAACAAATCACATTTTTATTCACTATCTATATTTTGATCATATATTAGGAATTATTTTTTAATAAGTTCTCATTTCATTCTATAATTTTATTTACATTTATATGGTGCCCAAAATATTGTTTTCACTTTTCAATGAAATTTTAAATCACAATTTTATTTTCCTGAATATTTGTGATGTCAATATGGATTTATTTTTGGATAAGGTAGTAGTCTGGTCAACTTACAGACTAATGGCGGTGGAACACTTTCTGGTGACGAACAGTTTATTTTTCTACAACTTTGGATGTTTCGTGACTTTAGTCTAATTAGATTGAAGGGTAACTAAACCACTTGAGCGTTATTAGTTAAATTAAAATGAAAAGGTAATGCTCCATTGACCTCAGCATTAGTTTCATGAGCACATACATAATACTCCACGTTAGAAAGATATTCCTAAAAAAGAGGCATACCAGAACAGGGCCCCCATATATAGTAATATTTAGGGAAAAGTACGGATTAGATACCTGTGGTTGTGGGCGTTTTCACTTAGGGGTCTGTGATGATCTTTGTAACAAACGCAGCCTCGTGTTTTGCTACCGTTACCACCCGTGGGGTCTATTGGACCTGGCCGTTAGTTAAATGCGACGTGGCATATATTTTTTTCCAAATAGGCTCCAGCGTGGCCAAATAGTGTATGGCATAAAGCTCGGGAGGATCCGACCCGAATAGCTCGTTCTTCAATCCAGACTCGGCGGAGGAATTTGACCAGAAGTTCTTCAGGAAATTCACCCTCCTCGGCAACCTATGCCACCAGACGAACACCTCGTTGAGGAAGCCCTGGTCGCCGTCGTTGTAGGAGACGATCTCCTCCTGGCGCTGCATCAGCATTTGGAACGTGCAGTCGGAGGGCTCTATCACCATCACGCCGGAGTTAAATATAGATCCGTCATTTCCAGAGGAGGACATCTGAGGAAATCCAAAGAGGAAATCGATGTTGCCATAGCCGGAACTTGCTGTAGTTGTATTCGTTGTAGGTGCCCTTCTCGGATCTGGGATTTCGGATCCTCTTGATGAATCGGAGCTTCCACCCGGATTTGATGAGAGCGTTGCGTTTGGATAGGGAGATGCTTTTGTCCATGAGGAGGATAAGGCCGCGTTTAGTTCCGGTTCGGAAGAGCTTTATGCCATTGGCCACGCTGGAGCCTATTTGGAAAAAAATATATGCCACGTCGCATTTAACTAACGGCCAGGTCCAATAGACCCCACGGGTGGTAACGGTAGCAAAACACGAGGCTGCGTTTGTTACAAAGATCATCACAGACCCCTAAGTGAAAACGCCCACAACCACAGGCATCTAATCCGTACTTTTCCCTAATATTTAAATACAGTTAGTTCTCTTTTATTCAAATTGTCTTTTATTCAAATTGTCTTTTATTCAAATTGCTTGAATAATGAGTTGGATACTTGCATTGCTTTAAATCAAGTATTAAGTAAGTTTTAGAAGAAAAAAAATACATTTTTTGATGAGTGTTCAATTGATTTGAGTATAAGTATTTATATATATATATTTTTATTAATGTGGGGCCTCAACTTTACATTTGGAACCAGGGCCTTCAAGTTCATTTGACGGCCCTGCATAAGATATACTCCCTCCGTCGCTTAAAACTTTGCCAACTTTCCTTTTATATTAATGTGGGGCCTCAACTTTACATTGGAGTACGTCGTATGATATAGGCATGAAATAATTAATGTGATGGTATTGGTATTACAAAATTATTTATTTTCTTTGATTTGTCATTTTTATTTATAGATCGAGATTCTTGGTTTTTGTTTATTTATTGTTTATGATTTTTTGTATTATATATTAGTACAAAAAGGAAGAATAAGTTGATATAACTAGTGAAATTCTCTTTCATGAATTTTTCCTTTGAACGTTCACGTTATATCTGCAATTTGAATATGTCTTTTTTATATAATTTTTTATGATTTGAATATGATAATTTTTTTGTCTGTGACCTCCAAAGTCCTCAAGACGCCTGTGTATGTGTTCTTTTTCTGCAATATTAACCCAATAATATATGCCTCACCCAATGATTTGAATATGATACTATAATTTTTTGTCTGCATAAGATATGCCTAATCCATACAATACTAATTTGTTTTACCAGTATAGCAATATTATTAACCCAATAATTTTTAAATTATACCTATTTGTCATACATTCAACATATTAAATATTTAACTTTACACCTTTAAGAGCCCGTTTGGTGACCCATTTTTGGCTTATCAGGCTTATCAGCCAATTTTTTCACCAAACACGTAACTTTTGATTTCGCGCGCTGAATCTATATATCTATATATATCTATATATATATATCTATTAATTGAACTAAGTCATTGTCCCGCCTAAACTTTCAGGGCATTTTAGTAAACTTCTATCTTTTCTAATTCCTTCGTCAGCCCATTCTATCCTGATGTTTCAGACGGCTCTAGAATCCTCCTACACGGCTTTCAAGGACTTCATCCCCGAAGAGTTCCGCCATCAACCTCGAAGCATCTAGGTCGACAATAAGTATCCTACGTCTAGAAAACTTCTACTTTCATTCTTTCTTACGTCTTCCCTGGTCATCTTCTTTCTTCACAATGGCTCTTCGGTCTTCCTCACTTCAAAAACTGTAACCATCTAGATTCATTTGCTTTATGGAGAATTCCAACCACAATTTTAATCTCCACCCTCCATAAAATCTCAAGTATCCTATGTCTTCCTCTCCATTAGCTCATTCGATTTTTACAAGAATGCTCCAATTTATTGCATTACACCATCAATAATCCCACCATGCAGGTCTGTAGATCTTATTAATGATTAAATATGAAGTCTATTATATGCTTATGTATGGCCGGTTAAAATTTTATTCGTGTTTTTGTGTAGGGTTCACTCAATTGCTTCAATTGCTTCGAATTTGAGATGGAATGTGAAACTGTGAATTCAGTTCTAAGATTCTCAGATTTAGAGTGCTTTTAAGATGTTTGTAGAAATGTCACAGTAAAAAAATCTGCATTTTATCTTCTTCTGCATTTTATCTATTTCTGCTCCGTAGAGTCTACTTTCAGGGACCCATGATGGATTGGGATAGTAATGGCTTAAATTTGAATTTGTATTTAGATTTGAATTTTGAATTTAAAATCTACGGTTGAATACCATTAATGCAAAACAAATCTCAAATGATTACCATAACAAATTATTTCAAATAGCAGCTTTTGATGGATTTCTGGCCTAGAACGCTAACCGTAAGAACTTGAGCTAAAAGGGTGAACTTTTTAGTCTTTTCCTACTATTTGACATTGCTGAAATTTTCTCTTCTCTATGGGTTGTCTATAGTTTTACCTGGATGCTGTTTTTTGTTAAATTTTTCTCTAACTTAACCAAAAAACACATGTAACCTATAAATCTTCAATGTTTCTTATTTACTTCTCTATTTTATTTTTTCCTATTTTCCAGGTTTCTTTTTTGATTGATCAATTGTATAGCGTGGGTTGAACTCTGGTATAACACTACGTAACACTGATCTACAAGAATGACTCCATTTGAAGGGATTTAAGGTCGACCGCCTCCTTTGCTAAGATCTTACATGGATGTGCAGTCTCCGTTGGTAGAAGTGAAAGTTCAGCTGTGTGACCGTGATGAGGTTATACGGGTGCTACGTATCTTCAATGTTTCTTATTTACTTCTATACTTAATTTGTTCCTATTTTCCAGGTTACTTTTCTGATTGATCAATTTCATTGTTAGTTTCTCTTCTATGACATACTATCGAGTTGATGGTGGGTGATTTCACTTATCTGGACTACATTTTACAATCAACGGGTGACTGAAGAACTCATTTTTTTATTTTTTTATTTTACATTTCTTTGACCTGTATCAGTCTTCTGTTTTACATTTTTTGTAGAATGATTGGCTTTCCTTCACTAAAAATTCAATAAGAAGTAGCAGATTTATATATATATATATATATATATATATATATATATATATATATATATATATATATATATATTCATGATTCATGAGATTTCTCTGATTGAATTAGTTTTGAAGTTCATTTTAGACCTTTACAGCACTAGAAAGCTGGAATGTTGTTATATACTCATAGATATTTACATAATAAGATCAGATGGGGCTCAAGGGCTGGGGTCATCAAGGTGTGTATTGAATGAGATGTGTTTTGTGGTATTAGGTTTGACAGAGTGAGAAACATCCTTCAGGGCCAAGAGAGAAGCTTATTGAAAAGAAGTTCTACCATAAATACCCATCTCAAGGATTGTAGGTATGATATGAATACTTTAGTTGGTGTTCCGCTTGCATTAGCGGCTACCTCACTTTTGTTTGATTGTGAGTTCTTCCATCACAGTTTTTATACAACGTCCAACAAATATCTTAAGCCTTCCATATACCATTCTCTCCATTTTCTAAAACATTGTTTCACCAATGGGCACATATCTATGCCTCTTGAATCCTCAGGGGTTTATCTTCATATAGTTATAAAGTTCAATCACATGTATAGTCTATTGGATTTTCACGATCAAACTGATGTGTCTAAATTGCGACTCTATTAGTCTTATCGATTATGGAGTATATGTTAAATTTAACTCTTAGCTCAGGCTCGGTCGGGTTTTAACTTGACCTAGAAATAACATGTACTACCTCCATCCCATTAGAAGGTTCTCGTCCACTATTTGCATGGTCAACTTAAATCTTTTTTAATCGTTTACTTTATAAATCAATTTTTTATCAAATTTACATTTTTTTATCAGCCTTTGTAGTGGTTTTAATGTAGTTTCTGAATATATTAATTTTATTTACTAAAACTAATCAGAGTGTGAACAGGGATTAAGTTGCTTTATCGTCAGTCAAGCATCGTAAACCGTTCACGGGAACCTTCTAGCGGGACGGAGGGAGTAATAGATTGTGTTATACAACTTCATGTCAGAACAAGGCTCAATATAATCTGTCTGGTATTGAATTTTTGACACCCGAGTTTGGGTCGATTTAAACTATCCAACAAGAAGTGAAAATAATCTTTTTTAGTTAGTCCTTTAATTACGATAAACTGCGAGAACTAAACATTTAATTTGAGGAGTGAATATCATGGTTATACACTTATACAATTTAGTTTAGTTTATACTATTCAGTTTGGTTAAAAATGGAGTTTTGAGGAGTGAAATTGTGTATTTCTTAGTTTCTTTCATACAACATCTCGATTGTAGTTTGAGTAGTTTGTATACTCAGTAGGTTTTTGTTGGTTACTTCTGTAGTTCATGTCGGTTATATATATATTCTAGAAGAGACTAGAATATATATATATATATATATATATATATATATATATATATATAAAAACTTCACTCCGGAACAAGGCTCCATGAAATCAGGCTGGTATTGAGTTTTTGACACATGGATTTGGGTCAATTTGAACCATCCACCAAGAAGTGCAAATAATCTTCTTTTTTATTCAATCCTTTAATTATGATAAACAATGAGAACTAAAAGTTTAGTTTGAGGAGTGAAAAACATGGTTATACAATTTAGTTAGTTTATATACATGTTTAGTTAAAATGTGGAGTTTTCCCTTTATAATACCAGTTTTTTTATGTAACACGCTAAACATTGTTAACTAAATGGAATTTTTTCTTTCACTTTCGACCTTAATTTGAAATCTTTAAGATTAGAAGAGGTGAAAATGAAGTTCTTATACTTCAATCCATACTCATTACTTTCTTTTAGGTATAATTCTTTTAGTTTTATACTTTAAACCATAATGGTAGCTAGAGTGTTCATTGATATTGGAAAGCCCACTAAATCCATCGGAAAGCAAATCTGAAATTGCGTATTTCTTACTTTCTTTCATAAAACATCTGAGGGTAGTTTGTATACTCATAGGTTTTTAGGTGTTATGTATACTTAATAGGTTTTTTGTTGGTTACTTCTGTAGTTCATGCCTATTAAAATCTATTCTAGAAGACTTTTTCGCTTGCATCACTTCCGAGGAGAAGTCATATTGATCAGATTGACAATTTTGAGCAAAGGATTCATACCGAGTCACCATATGCTCCACATATTTTCTTCATTTGATTAGATAGAGTTTTTTGCCAATCAGTTAACATCATTACAGAAGTTTCATACAACACTAACAAAATATCATAATCACATAATGGTGTTCTAGAAAGTTTTGGGGACAAAGTTTTCTTTCCTTGATGCATTTCTTTTATTATCTGGGAAACTTGATGGCAACATTGTACAAAATTTGCATTATGCTCTTGATTGTGGTTAATATACACGATCAATAGATATGCAACATAGAAGATGTTTGTGACTAACTTTTAATTTGTTTTTAAAATTTTTGGATCGTAGGACGTTCATGTGCAAGATGAAATTTTTCTTTCCTATTTGCGGAACTGTAAAATATGCATGAATTATCAATTGTAATAGCTTTGGGCAGGACTCTAAGCACTTGCTTTATTGGAGTCTTTTTTCTGAATAGAAAAACTTTCAATTATGTTATGAGCACTTGCAATTACTTTATGATTGATCGTCTAATGATGGGAGGAGGCAAGCCTCACACTCATTTATTTTTGCATCTAGAGTATTCTCTTTGATGTGTGTGGATTATATTTAGATGTTAAAAAGATCGACACTTGCTTAAACTCAAGAATGTGTATGAATATTATTGCGGATGAGAATGATATATGCACATTTGTAGAAGCCTTTGATCTATTTGATGGCTTTGTACGTAATTTGTTACTTAGTTAGTTTGTTATCCCGTGCAACGCACGGGTAAAAGACTAGTTTTGTAATAAGCAGAAAAAGTAAGGTTGGAGTTACTTTTCTTGCTGCATTGGCTGAAGTTACTGTAGAGGATCATTTTAGCTATTTTTCATATAAGTTTTTATTTAATTTATTAATAACAAATATTTTAAATATAATTTTTTCATTAATCAGCAGAATCAGCCAATACAGCTACTTCAGCGAGAACTTCATAAATTTCAGCAGAATCAACCAATCTTGCCAATTTTAGTGTTACCAAACAGGCTCTAAAACACTTGTAGTACTAAAAAGTTAAAATCCTTGTTACCTTATTTAGACATCTACATGTAACACGTCACTGCCTGCTAGATGCGTAAAAGATAAGTTTCCTATTCTAGTTTCCAATTACATAATACTTAATAGCTTTGATTGGAAAAAGCCTAAGGGTACCTTTAAGATGAATGTGGATGCGGCTTTCTCTAAGAAACTCAAGGCAGGTGGTGCAATTTTTGCTGGCTCACATCATCTTTGTTGGCTCTTTTCCTTTGGAGGCCAGGTCCATTCTGGAAGTTGAACTTGTTGCAATTTTTGTGGCGGTCCATTGGTGTCATTATGCTTGCATTACAGACGTAGAGGTTGAATCAGACTCTTTGGCTGCTAATAAAATACTTAAGAAAGAAAGCTACGTAAGGAAGTTTTCGTTACCTCGCGAATCCCATCAACTCCATGGCCAGACATGTTGGTATCTCCTTCACGCATATTTACAGAGAGGCGAATACGGTGGCTCATCTTCTTGCTCAGGCCTACAATACTTTTCAGGCCCCAACAATTTTCCACAGACTCAAACAGCTCCCTTCCGTGATTCAAGACGCAAATCACCTGGATGTTGTTGGATGTCCGAACATTAGGGTTGCCTAATTCGGCATCTTTCATTTCCTTGTTGGGCCATGATAAACCAAATACTAAACAATCAAACAATCGTAAGCAAGAAGAATAAGCAGATAGAAAGATATCGAGAAGATGAAAACCGAATCTGGTATACCGTATGAAACCCCACTGCTCTCCCTGGAGAAGGAGAGCAGCGGAAACCCTACTCTCTCTATCTTTACGCCTCTGAACTCTAAAGCCTCATTCGATCGTTAGGGTTCCCGTAAGTTAGCCTCCTTTTATAGGAGAAGTTGGCTAACTTACGGGTTACAAGGAAGCCCCCGGGTTGATACACATTTGTGGCCCGTATTACACGTTTAATTAATAACTACACAAATACAAAGATATTTAATTAGATTAGACACCATAAAATATTCCTAACAATCTCCCCCTTGGTGTTCAATCGTGTTGAATCAGCATTGCAGCGCAAATATCTTTGTCTTTGTTGTTATTCAGCTTCCTTTTACTTTGAACTTGACTTCTGAGGAAGGCTATCTGAAGAAATCATTGCAATCTCCCCTTTGATGTCTTCTTGACAATTTAATCTTTGATGCCGGGGGTTGAGGGACCTTCTGTATCTTGCATGTAGTCCTTGCCCTCCAGAAGTTGCTCTTGATCAGCTTGGATGAAGTCCGGTGACGCCTCTAGAATGAGTATTCTTTGGAGAATAGGAGACGCCCATGGAATTCATCTTCAGGACACGAGTATTTGACCTCTGTCTCCTCCACAATGTAGTCTTTTTGACTATTTGGAATGAATGCATTTGAGGAGAACTTGTCGGTGGCACAACGGAACATAATGATTGTTGATTTGTGAGTGTAGCTGACCATTTGATTTGAGTTGTAGAGATAGCAGAGAAGGTGTTGATTTTTGTGATGAAGGAGTGAAGTGTCCCAGAATGATTTGTTCAGAGTTAACAGCATGTGGACCACTCTCCCCCTCATGACGATCCGATGAATCGGGACATCATGTTTTTATTCTTTTATTCTGCAGAAATAAAACAGGAAACAAACAGAAAGAGTACATGATAAAAGCCCCCCGGGGTCGTGTAGATACCCGTTTTCATCACTATAGAGATAAACTCTAAAGTAATGGCCTGAAAATGTTGGTGATTCTTATGTTGCAACAACAGGACTTCCCACCAATTATTGGTCTACATCTGTAATAGATGAGCCCTATGGAAGTTCTCGCGGGTCATGTAGACCTGCAACTGACTCTAAAAGTGCGTCTGTGTCCTAGAAAATTTCAAAACATTTGGGAGTGAGTAACTAGACACGACGTGATCAATGAAAGTTCAGTGGCATGGGGCTGAGGCCACTGTAGTCAGTATTACTTGCCTCAGAAGGAGACAGTAATGAGAGATGCAGTTCCCCGTGTAATGTGATTAAACACCTGTCTGTTGGGAGACAAGTGAGTGGTCTTGGGCAAAGTTAAGCATGCACTGTTGGACAAGATGCAGTGACTTCTACCCGAGATCTGATTAAATCAGTCCTGAACCTATGGGAATTGTCCAGAGTATTTGAGTGGCTAGGAGTAAATGTTCAATTCATAGCAGGCAGTTGAGGTAGCAGACTCATCAGTGATTATTGTGTTCTTGCTCACTTGAGCCTTCTGCTTCCTAACGCTCATAATGTTCACTCACTCACTCGCTCACTCACTCACTTACGCTCGGCTTTGTCCCTTGGGTAGGCTTAGTTGGGTTTACTAAGCCATAGGGACATGTTCTCTCATTACATTCTTCATTTTCTCTCTGTACTCCCCCTCAACTGGAGCACTCGGTATGCTTTGTCATTGTTAGGCACCGGGGAGGATAACACTGAAAACCCCCCCTAAAATGTTGCATCCTTTGAGAGATTCCTTGCTTTGTCGGTGTAAGGCGCCAAGAGGAGAAAACTGAAACTCCCCCTCAGAATGTGCAAGGTTTGATTGCTCACAGCTTGTCATACCCGCCATGTGTATGGAGCAATCTGAACAAGTACCACACATGACGGATTCCCTAAACTCACCATGTAGAATTTCAGCATATTGATGATCACACAATGTTGATGAGTCAGAGGAGGCTTCAGTGGTTGATTGTTGATTGTTGTAAGATGACCGTTGACGCGAGGTTGATTGAATTATCTACGATTTTCGGACCTTTACAGTGGGGCATAGAAAAGCTTTGACCTCAGGGTTGACATTGAAAGAATTTGAACAGATTTTCCTAAGTTTTGACCTGGACATCGGTGATTTACAATGTTTGTCGGAAAACTAACGTTTTGACCCTCAAAGATTGCGAGTGAGGGCGCTTGAGAACGGGTTCTGGGGCATAGCCCCATAATTTATGAAGATCTTTTCGTTAGCTTTCTAAAAAAAAATTGCTTAAATCGGATCACCGATTCAAAAGTTATGGCCAAAACAGTGCGGTGTCGCAGAAAATCTCTAATTTTGAGTTTTTGAGAAATTTCTTCGAAGTTGAGGTTCTCGATGTTGAATATCGAGAGCAGGTGGATTTTAAACAAAATTCTAAGGCAATACCTCGAAATCTGAATCTCGAGGTTTAAATCTCGAGATTACAATCTCGAGGTTTAAATCTCGAGATTACAATCTCGAGTTTTAAATCTCAAGATCTTAATCTCGAGTTTGCCTCGAAAAATAATGGCGAAATCCACCTGCAAAACAAACCTCAGAATATCGAAATCTGCAGAATTTCAAAATGTTTGGAACATCGAAAACTTTGGAGTTTCGAAAACATTAGAAAATCGAAAACTTGTTGTTTGAAAAACATCAGAACATCGAAAACTTCTAAAAACTTTGATAGGCAGAGATTCATTCAGATATCTAAAAATGTATAGCTTCGAAGTGTTCTGAACAGGAAAGATATCAAGTTTAGAAGAAATCAGTGATTCAAGAAACTCCAAACATTGAAAAATTCAAAACATCGAGAAATTTTGAAAATCTCGAAATCTTGAGAATGTCGAGATCCAAAACATCGAGATTCCAAATGTCGAAATCCCAAAACTCGAAATTCCAAAACTCGAGGTTTCAAAACTCGAGATTTCAAAACTCGAGGTTTCAAAACTCGATATGTCAAAACTCGAGATGTCAAAACTCGAGATTTCAAAAGTCGAGATGAGGAAATCGAGTCCCTAAATGTCGAGATCCTGCAAAATGAAAACTTCGATTTTTGAAAATCTGAAACCTGTTCTGAAAAGCCCTGAAGGTCGAGATTCTCCTGTATCAGTTTCAAGTCAAAAACGTTTCTGCAGCAGTGAAAAATAAGGATTTCGAGATCTCAAAATAGAGATCTTCAAAATATAAAAATTGCAGAAAACGAAAAAAAAGGTATGCTGCTGGATTGGTTTTGAAAGGCGAGTCCAACAGTATGATTTTTACAAAATTTCGTTCACAAACAAGATTACAGGAGCAAATCTCTACACTAAAGAAAAACAGAAGAAAAGCAGAGTAGTTCTTCGTTAGATCCAAAAAATCGCAGATAGATTCAACCTGTTTCACGCCTCGTCTCTGATACCAATTGATAAACCCAATACTAAACAATCAAACAATCGTAAGCAAGAAGAATAAGCAGATAGAAAGATATCGAGAAGATGAAAACCGAATTTGGTATACCGTATGAAACCCCGCTGCTCTCCCTGTTGGAGAAGGAGAGCAGCGGAAACCCTACTCTCTCTATCTTTACGCCTCTGAACTCTAAAGCCTCATTCGATCGTTAGGGTTCCCGTAAGTTAGCCTCCTTTTATAGGAGAAGTTGGCTAACTTACGGGTTACAAGGAAGCCCCTGGGCTGATACACATTTGTGGCCTGTATTACACGTTTAATTAATGACTACACAAATACAAAGATATTTAATTAGATTGGACACCATAAAATATTCCTAACAGGCCGTTTTATTTTGCTGATTCTTTCACACTCTTTTTCCTATTGGGTCTGGCCCAGGCCCAATTTTCGTTTACTTTCTTTGCCTTGTATTTTGGAATTGGTTTTTTCGGGAGAGGTCTTGCCTTCGTCCCCCTCTCTATTGTTTGTAATTGCATTATTTTAATAAAATTTGGCATATGACATCCGGCATATGCCCCACTAATTTTGGTGGTTTGCCTTCCGGGTTAAAAATAATAATAATAATAGCTTTGATTTTGGAGGCCCCTTGCATGGTATGTGACCCATGGTTGTTGCATGGGCCAGGGCCGTAGATGAGGCTGTGCAAGCTGGGCTACTGCACAGGGCCTCCAAAAATAGCAGGCCCATTTAAAAAAAATTAAATAATATATATATATATATATATATATATATATATATATATATATATATATATATATATATATATATATATATATATATATATATATATATATATATATATATATATATATATATATATATATATATATATATATATATATACATAATTGAGAAATATTCAGATCCGGAATTCCAGACCAGAACCGCAGTCCAGATGGTGGCGTTTCAGCGTCTTCCCAGTCGACTTTTTTGATGAAATTTTTACAGCATGTTCTTCATGAAATCTAATTTATCCACGACAAAAATTCAGCTAAATATTCAATCGGGAAGGTTGTCAAATGATTTTTGGAAGTTAATTGCGTTTTATATGTATATTCCGGCGTAGTTATCTTTCAAAAATCATATGACGACCTTCCGGATTGAATTTTTAGCTGAAATGTTTTGTGGATAAACTAGACTTGATGAAGAACATGCCATAAAAATTTCATTAAAAACTTTCACCGAGAAGTATCCCAAACGCCGCCTTCCAGACGGCGGTAATTCCTAACCGGAAAGTAATCTATGAAGTAATTGTTTAAATTATTAATAGGAGCCCATTTGCATTTTTGAAACACATTTATACACTGAACGATCCAACTTCAAATAAAAGCAAACCATACGTCTACACATTAGATCTATGCATTTTATTTAATAAAAGGGCTCATTTGTGTGATTCACCTCGAGTCTCTTAAAGTGTCAAGCTGCCATGACATGGGCTAACTCCCCCAAAGCCTCCTCTGAACACATACATTGGTTTGCTCACCACTACATTTCTTAAACGGTTCTCTTGTGTAACTTTACAGAAACCATGTATAATAATACGACTAAAATTACTATAAATATGATGTCAAGATCATTTAAATATAAAATTAAATGTAAATTACTATGAAATCACATTTTAATTATATAATTATGTAATTATTTCTTTAAAATAGCATAGGAGAGAGAAACCAATTACAAGCGCATGCCATTGAAAAGAGAAACCAAGCATAATAAACATCGAGTAGTTTTTTTTGTAAAACTAATTACTCGAAGTCCTAATCTATGGTACGGCCGATGGTACCTTCTGCACAATATAATCGGGTATTTTAGTTTACATTTAATGATTATATATAGTTTAGATGAAAGATATTAATATTACGGATCGGAGTAAATTATAAAATGAACACAATAAATATTTTTTATAACAATACAATACAATGATAATATAATTAAATGAATATAAGTTGATTTGTAGCATATGTATCACGTTAGATCATAATACTCTATTACACACTTATATACTCAATGGTACTACCAAAACAATGATTTAATACTAATGTTCATGTTCATTTCTCTTAATGTTATACTTCCTCCGCTCCTAAATAAAGTTCACATTTTCCTTTTTGGGCCGGTCCAAAATAAAGTTCACAATTCTTCTCCCTTCCTTATTTGGCAAATTATCTACATCAAAACAGTGCAAAACAATGTCAAACAGTGCCAAACAGTGTCACAACAGTGTACTCTACAGTAAAGTCAAATTTATTTCTTTAATTTGTGTGAAGTCAAACATTGAACTTTATTTAAGACCGGGGGGAGTATTCATTAGATATTAGATAAAATACCCCATTATTTATTCAGTATATGTGGTCCTCTAAAGTAGGCATGTCAATGGGTCGGGTCTAGACCCGGATGCAACCCGGACCCGGTTGTTTTTTACGGGTATGGGTCTATATTTTATTCCGTTTACCCGGACCCGGATCTGGACCCGTTAGTATTTTTAATAAACGGGTCAGGTATGGTACATATGATTCCGTCCCATTAAGTATTCAGACCCGTTTAAAATTTCTTACTTGTATTAGTATATATATACACACACTAATACATAAAATGGTTACTCATAATACTTCAAATAAAAGAATACAAACTAATACACACACAAACATATACACATAATAATTTACAAAGTTATTAGTTGCAATTCTTCAATTAAAAATATACACACTAATACAATACCTAATGTATAAGTGATATTGATCGAGATATTAAAATATCCTAAAATTAATACCCAGTTTTCGTCATTTATCCGTAATGATAAAGTGTGTATTAAGATCAGTAGACAAAGTCCAATATTTGTTATTAAATATTAATATTATTATATCACTATCATATATAATATGCTTTTATACTTTCACTAGTCCAAGAGACCTTTTTATGACCTAATTTCAAGTCTATTCTACGAGATTTCTGTGCGAGAGAAAGCGAAACAGAGTGTGGAGTTATACGTCTCTACAAGAACCGAATTATTGGATAAAAGTACTAATTTTCTAATAAAAATCTTGATAATTTTTTAAAGTGAAAATATACTTTGTTTTTAAGTTTGCGTACATTTCTTTACATTTTATATATATGTCATGTTATTTTTCACAAAGTTTATAATATTGTGCATATCATATTTATTGCCAGGTATACCCAATCCAGTTCCGAGACCCATTGAGTATGGATCTGGGTCCAAATTTTCAAACACACCAGGTAAACGGATTGAATCTGAATCCATTATTAACTTAGCGGGTCCGGATCTGGAACACTACGTTCCGGTCCGGACCCCGACCCATTGACAGACCTGGTATTAAACCACGTTGTATTTGTGACATTTGTCGGACAGTCGGAGTAGTTTTTTGTTATCTCACGCAATAAAGCAGCTCCGTTACACACAATTTTACACGTATGTAGAAAGTCTGTAACTTTAAAGAAACACCAACACCTTTCATCCGAGCTTCGAAGCAAAGCCAAACGGGTTATAATATACAATGACCCAACGAAGCGAGGATTTCCAAAAAAGCAGCAACCAATCTACAGCAAGATACCTAACCGAATGTTTGTTCTTTTTTAACACCCTCTGAAATTTCAGAATAAATCTGCGATTCTTGGAGTTAAATGACCGAAAACAGATAGAGAAAGAAGAACATAGAGATCAGAGAGATTGAAATATGGGCAGTTTATCAGCATCATCGCTTGTGCTTCCAGGAAAGCAAAGTTCCTGCAGGAGAAAAAAAGTGTCCAAGAAATACACCCAATCTACAGTTCCTGTAATACTCCCTTTCCTTTTTTTATTTTTCTGTTTTTTATCAAGTTTCTTGGAGAAATAATGGTTAAAGATTGGATATTTATTTTGGGTATGGGTGAATTTCAGGTTGCAAGGTTATTTGGGCCAGCAATATTTGAAGCATCAAAGCTGAAGGTACTGTATTTAGGCGTTGATAAGGAGAAACACCCAAAAGAGCTTCCAAGAACTTACACCCTTACACATAGTGATATAACTTCTAAGCTCACACTCGCCATCTCCCAAACCATAAATAATTCTCAGGTATGTGTGTGCTGTGAAACCCTAAGATCAAAGATTTTTATTTTGAAATTGAATAAAATTATAAATTGGTTATCTGTTAGTATTTGTCGGTAGTGTGGTAGTATACTAGTATGAAACCCATCCAGACTTTTAGATGAATTCCATATGTTATGATAATCAAAGTTGTTATGGTTTGACACCCAACTTGTTAATGGTTTGTTTGGCCTATTATACAACCTCAAGTCTGTAAGGCCCTCTTGGGTTGAGGTGCGGAAGTAATTGGTTAAACGCACGTCAAGTACAAAATATTAAACTAACATGTAAGATAAGAATATGGGCTATCATAACTGGATTCAGTTGATTACTTGGCCCAACTCAAGATGCTAATTGCTAAACATTGATGTCTCAATAATATTTCTCTGGATTATTATTCATGAATGAACTCAAACATCATTATATTTGCAGTTGCAGGGTTGGTATAATAGGCTGCAGAGAGATGAAGTAGTTGCAGAATGGAAGAAGGTGAAGGAGGAAATGTCACTTCATGTTCATTGTCACATAAGTGGTGGCCATTTCTTGTTAGATCTGTGTGCTAGGCTTAGGTACTACATCTTCTGCAGAGAACTCCCAGTGGTAAGTCTTGCATTTGTGCTAATGTCTCCTCCTACATGGCTGCATTTGTTCTGTATGAGATGTATACTAAATCTAGTTGCATCTTTCTTAATGATCTTTGTGGTGTGAGCTAGACACCATTTATCATTGAATCAGAATATGTTCCATTGTGGACTGATTGTTTCACACTGTTTTTCTAACTATTCTTATTTAGGGTTCCACCATTTTTCCATCATTTGCAATGGAGTCAAAAATTCATTATTTTTTGACTTGAGATTATGATGGAATAAAGAAAAATGGCTCACTAAACTGTCTGCGCTTCTTTGTTATGAAGCGTCCATGCACTTTTGGACGCGATTTTCACTATGGAAACAGTCTCTCTATACTTTAGTATAGGGGTAAGACTGCGTACATCCGACCCCCTACCCCACCGTAGGTGGGAGCCTTTGCGGCACCGGGGTAAATGAAAATGAAAATGATTCAAGGTTCCACCACCTTGAAAAGTTAATGTTTTTATGTGTGCCAGTGTGTATCTACATATTGCTAGTTGGAGCGTACTAAATTCTAAATGTGATTCTATTAGCCTAGGCCCGATGGTTTACTCATATGAGTCTCATTCTCTCTAAAATATAATATGAGAAATAGTTCAAAATCTTATATGTGAATAGTTCAAATGATACATTTAATTTATGGATAATGGATTGATATATGGTATCTATGTTTCTGTTTTTCACTTTGGGTATGATTTGTAGGTTCTGAAGGCATTTGTTCATGGAGATGAGAGCTTGCTCATGAATTACCCAGAATTGCAGGAAGCTTCAGTTTGGGTTTACTTCCACTCAAACATTCCAGAATTCAACAAAGTGGAGTGCTGGGGCCCGCTGGTAGCGTCTTCCCCTCCTCCTAAGTCAGTCAGATCTGGAAGCAAGGAAGACATGCCCAAGCCTTGCGAAGAAGCTTGCGATTGTTGCTTCCCTACAATGAGTTCAAAACCTTGGTCGCCTTCCTCACACGATCCCTCTGGAAGCAAGGAAGACATGCCCAAGCCCTCTTGGTCGCTTTCCCAGATTCTACTGGTAGATGAAAGGGATAGGGAGTGGTAGTAGTGTGGGTATTAGGTTATTTGATAGGAGGATGCACATGTATATATGGTCTACACCCTACCCCTCTAGAAAGCTTATAGTAGTTGAAGAAGCAATTTCTTGTTCCAAATCTTAAAGCTGTTATAGAAGCAAGTGAATGTGGAAATGGAATAGCAAGTCTCTTATGTTATAAATGGTTTGTCTAAGTTCGGTTTTGGTAATGTGATTGTACCATTTCTAGTCAATCCTTTAATGTAGCATTGCCAGATTTGTCCATGATGTTAATTTCATTTTGTTCCTAGTTATCTTTTTAGCTTACAAATGAAACATCATTACAGCATCTTCATTCTTTTTGCAACTTGATTCGGATAATCAAACCTTCCACATTTAAAAAAGACCTTGCTTGCACTCTTTGCATGTCAAGTATCTTTGGCTTTATTTATGAATGAAAAAGTAGATCTTGTTAATTCTGAAACTGAAAAAGTAAAATAGAAACAATGAACTTGAAAGGAGAGAAAGGGATAACCGTAACAGTAATATTTGTAAGATTCTGGGTCCGTAGACCTGGCCACTTCCGATTCAGTGCAACTTTGAAGCACAGAAACGTTTGGGAAAGACTTATATTTTGATATTAACAAAGAAGGCATTCGGGTACTATCTGGTCAGGTGTATTAGGTTGAAATTGTTGAATCTGCAGGCACTTTAAAAATACTAAATACATTAGGTGTTTTGGTCACTTCCCTTTCAAGTTTGAACTACACAAGTGATTTAAATACTAAATACATTAGGTGTTTTGGTCACTTCCCTTTCATGTTTCAACTAAACAAGTGAAAACCATGCAAGGGAACATGGGAAACGATCGCCAATCTATGTTGCAAGGGAACATGGGAAACGTTTAGGTGTTTAGACAATTTCTAAAGAGTTTCCATAGAATTTTCAAAACGTAAATACAAAGCATTCAACTTTCCATGCTTCATTTATGCTGAGCAGAGTAGTCAATGGTGCAAACGGTGATTGCCATTTGTCATCATTGGCATGGCTTCGTTGCAATACATAGGTCTTGCATCTCATTTACCTCTGAGGTTTCTATATTTACATCTTCACCATTGACATGAAGAACATGGTCACAAAAATTTCATTAAAAAAAATTCATCGATACCACCTCAAATGGAGGCGGCCGCACAGAGGGTTCAAATCAGGTGGATTGATAAGATCAATTCCCTTGTTATATATACGATGCAGTTCTTTATCATCTGAAGCTATGCATATCATTCTTATGTTCATTTCATTATAGCTATTGATGTGTTGGCGAGAATATGTGGTTTCCCTATCGCCTAGAGCTACATGTTGATGCATTATAAGCTACTCTGTGTATGTTATGTATGCTATATTATGTGTAACATGTATGTGTATATTATAAATTATGTATTGAAATATGTGATATACTATTAGTTTGGCATGAATGTATGATGAATGTATGAAGAACATGATCACAAAAATATCATTAAAACAATTCACTGGAACCACCTTAAACGGAGGCAGCCGCACAGAAGGTTCCAATCAAGTGGACTGATAAGATCAGTTCTTTTTTTTACTCCAGGGGGTCTGGGGAGGAGAGTGGGGGCATGGAGTAATCAAGGTTGAAACTCAACCCATTGAGTTTCAAAGTCTTGTATGCTTAACGGGTTTTGAACTCGAGACATCCCCTAAGCACGATAATCTCACACCCAACTGAGTTGAAATGCTTGATTGATTAGTTCTCTTGTTATATTACTTATATTATATATATGATGTGTTTCCTTATCATCGGAAGCTATGCATATGATTCTTATGTTCATTTCATTATGGCTATTCATGTGTTGGCTAGAATATGTGGTTCCCTATCACCTAGAGCTACATGTTATGTATGCTACTCTGTGTACGTTATGTATGCTATATTATATTGAAATGTTATATAGTATTAGTTTGGTTATTTAACTCTTTTATTGGTGGTTAAGTCATAATACTACATTGTATATAGGTCATATTAATACCTCTTAGTTTTAGAGCCCATTTGGTAAATGACAAATCGATTGTATTGACTGATTCTGCTAAAATTTATGAAATTCTGACTAATGTCCACTAAAATTTATGAAATTCTGGCTAATGAGGCTGTATTGGTTGATTTTGCTGATTTATGAAAAATAATAATTTATAATACATTTTATTAATAAAATAAAGAAATAATTATATAAAAAATAGCTAAAATATTCCTCTACAGTAGCTTCAACCAATACAGCCAGAAAAGTAACTCAAACCTTACTTTTTCTTATTATTACATAATTGAATCCGTAAAAACAAAAGTTACGTGTTTGATGAAAAAGTTAACTTATGAGCTTGAAAAGCCAAGAACGATGGGTGCCAAACGGGCACTTAGTATATCGTGGCGAGGCCATAACTGCATCATCACCATCGCCACGGTAAACTATCCCCACGCCATACTTTGATGTCAACAGAGACCTTAATAATAACTTCCCGTTCCTATAGAAATGGATTTCAGAAGATCAAGTCATTCAGTGACAAAAGAACACACGTACAAGTTAAGATGTGAAGGGTCCCTCTTTCCCAAGATAAGAAATATAGGTCCATGGTAAAGAACTTCATCCATTCATGGTATATGAAACCAAAACCTAAAAAACAGAGCAGCTAAATAAAACAGAATGGGTATAAATGAAAACTATGTTTAACGCTTCTTCGAGACACCAACAGTCTTTCCCCTGCGCCCAGTAGTCTTAGTGTGTTGTCCACGTACACGAAGACCCCAGTAGTGTCGCAGACCACGGTGATTCCTAATCATTCATTCATTATCAACTACTACAAGTCAGAGACAGACAGTAGAAAGACATATGGCAGCTAAAAGAAGACATTCTTGTGAATGCAAAAGTAGATAAACAGTAATAATAATACTAGAAATAAGAGGAATAATACATGGAACTTTTTACAGCTTCTATCCACTTTAATCAAATATAACATTACTAAACACATCCATTTTAAATCCTTATTGATAACTGTGCACTTGTAACATTCCAAATATACATTTCAAAATTCTTAGAAAAATTTAAAAATAAAATGGGAAGTTAAATACCAAAATGCAGAGAATAATTTATTAGAGCATTATTTGGATTCCAGATAATGCTGGGGAAGGAAAATATAATGCTAAGGGAACTTATTTTCTGATGTTAGCTTATACCTCACAAAGTAAAAAGGAAAGTGAAATGGGATTAACGTTTGTAATTTTTTACATAAGTTAAGATTTCCTAGTATTTTTATAATAGAAATAAACTTCATAAATTGAGATTGAACATATAGTAAACATAAAGTTATCAAGATTTAAATGATATTTTATTTTTCTGAACATTTTCTTCCCTCTATTTTCTTTTCCTAGCCTTTTCCGAGTTCCAGACTTGCCCTAATTGGTAAAACTATTCAATATAGAATATTCTAAATGATATCGATAGAAGCTGCTTAGGATAACGACACTACCTGAAGTTGCATGCATTAAAGTTTTAAAGATGAGTAAGATTAGTGAAATTGATGTACTTAATCTTAATCATTAATTAGTGGTGGTAAGAAACTGTGAGCACTCATCATAAATACTACTCCCTCCGTTCCCAAAAATACTTCCCACTTTCCTTTTTGGGCTGTTCCCAAAAATACTTCCCACTTTCCCATTTTGGACAATTTGTGTGGCTCACATTCATTTTACCTTTTTCTTACGCAACCACAACCATACATTTCCACTTTATTCCACTTTCTTAATAAGTGTGCCAAGTCAAACCGGGAAGAATTTTTAGGAACGGAGGGAGTAACAATACTAATTGTAACAAGTGGTGTGCGAAGACGAGAAACCATTACCGAATTTTCTTCAAACGCTCAAGATCATCCCTAAGTTTCATATCCAACGCATTGGAGACAACCTGCGAGTAGTTCCCATCCTTGTAATCCTTCTGCCTGTTGAGAAACCAGTCAGGGATCTTGAACTGCCTTGGGTTCGCAACCACTGTCATCAAATTCTCAATTTCTGCTGCAGAAAGTTCACCAGCCCTGTACCACCAATCCATCAATACAGCCAATCACACAGAAACTTAAATACAAAAAGAAATAATTACATATTTATGACAAAAATAAAGATTGTTTACAAAAATGTGACTAGTGACTAGAGTAGTAATGGAATCATAGTAACTTATGTTCAATTTTTAAACTCGAATTACCGTGACACTGTATTGTAGTAACTATTAGTCATATTTGTGTAAATAAATTTTATTTTAGTAATGGTTTTTAATAAAACTCTATCGAAAATCCAATTTGAGTATCAAATAGATCATAATACAGAAATACGATCAACTATACAACCACAATAACAACATCCAAACCTTGTTCTCAAAAGACTTTGAGGCATGATGCGATCAACTATAAGCCATAGAAATGGTTTTAAATACTATCCACTAAACCATATACTAAAATAATCCAAATTTAGAATCATAAATGATAGCCAATTTTTCCAATTTGTACCGAAAATAATGAAATTATATTTTCCCATAAGACATTCAGCTCATGTTCTGACATAAATAATTCAAGTCATAATTTATAAACCCAAAAAAATACTCACATTGAAATCCAGCCACACCTCAGATATTCATGTGACCATTTCAGCTTAATTACTTGACTAAAAGTATGCTTGTAATTTTTGGGTAAAGATTGACATAGTTTGTTTTGCTATCAATTCTTAATTTCAAATTTTGTGAATTAATTTTAGTACACTCAATTGGTGTTATATACTACAACAAAAATAACTTCCAAGGGATAGTCTGAAAATAGGGGTTGGGTAACATGAACCCAAACCTTAGTCCCAAAAGAGTTTGGGTTTGGCTAACATGAATGGACATATGAAGGTATCAATCCTCCAATTGGTGTTATACTATAATATTATTTAAATTCATATTCCAGCAAGTAAACTTCTTTCGCGGACAAATAACAATGATTGAATTTGTTAATAACATGTGAAAAAATAAGGGAAAGATCTAACCTTTTGTTCATGTCAATATCAGCTTTTTTGCAGCAGATGTTGGCGAAACGGCGGCCAATACCTTTGATGGAAGTGAGGGCGAACATGATCTTCTGCTTTCCATCAACATTGGTGTTCAGGATACGCAGAATGTGCTGGAAATCTTCATTAGCTACCAAACTCTGCCCTCCAAAAAATACAAAAATCAAAAACATCAATTGAACCATAAAACAACTATGCAGATAAACAAAACGTACTTCTCATCAAGAAACACATACTTACCATGGCTGCGGCTGCCTTTCCCTCCTCTCCCTTCACACCCAGGCGATGCGAATCTGAGGTGGAAACTGAGAACCTAGGGTTTATACTTTTCAATACTCCGTATACAATTTTAAACGCTCTAGTGCGGGACTGCTCTTTTTATACCGGTGTACAAGATTGGTGGGTCCAAAATCCCTAACCCCAAGGCCCCCACCATCACCCTACAGAATAGTTAAGAGGTTAATTACGTTGACTCATTAAAGGGACGGTAGGTTTTATACACGTGCGCACTAGAAGAATGGGTCAAATTTACTAAGTTGTTCCAAGATTGGTTGATTTACCCATTCTTATACCACCTTATATTAATGTCTATGAAGGTCTTTTTTATTGTAAATTCGCTCCACAGAAAAAATATGTGTTATTTTGTCTGTGCAAAATTTTCACAAATCAAATATTGTCTATGAACTATACTCACAGACAAAAACCATTCACAAACTTGGGTGGATATAAAAAAGGGTACAAATGTCATTTTTGAAATTTGTCTTAGTGTGCTACAAATGAGTGAAACGGATAAAAAAAATACAGAGTATGAAACATTAAAAATGAATTTATTTATCATATACAAAGGGATTTTTTATTTTTCTATTTTCTTTTTATTAATTACTTTTTCTTTTTATGGATTCAACTTACTTTTTTTTAATGATAGAATTGTAAAACACACAACAAAATCAAATTGGACAGAGGGAGTACGTAATGACGACTAATATTGTAAGTTGTAAACTTGTAATAGACATAATGACAAATATATGATCAAAATACAAGTATAAATAAAAATAAGGGTTTGCAATTAATATTACTAAAAAATAGATAATGCACAAAAGAGATTTTTTTTAGTTTCAAAAAATGTGACTAGTAACCATAAACTTACTAAATTATCCCTACTGACTCTATGTGACTGTGACATGACCTGATGTTACAGTATCATACCCTGCCCAATAACCAACTGCCAATTGGTTACAACCTCCGTCGAACAGTAACTGTGACACTTGGTTCGTTGGTGACACCACCATGAGCCCACCAATATCACTACAATTGTCGTGGCCATCGTCGTTATCGCCCTGTCCACTTGTTGTCACCTCATGCCTCCTCCCCGGACCACGTCTAGCCCGCCACCCCTGCCCCAACTTTGACTAAGGATGGCATTGCAGATGGGGGCCCGTGGGGAACCGCTCCGTGGGCAGAGTTGGGGCGGGGTGGGTATGGGGATGGGGGAATTATTTCCTCCCCGCTTAAATATGGCGCGGATGATGGGTTATGCACCCACAACACGATCCCCGCCCCATCCCCCGTATATATACACATATTAATAATTAATAATAATAATCACAATAATAATACTAATACGAAGTAAAATTGGTTAATGGGTCTATCTAATTCTTGTTTAATAACTCAACTATTTTGTAAAATTGGTTATCAAAATCATATAAAGTAAAATGAATTTGAGAGTTATAAAGTGATATTAACTTAAATGCCTCAGGCGCAGTGTGAATGTTTTATTCTTTTATTATTATAGTGCATTAATTCTTTTCTTATGAATGTCATCTTTATGATTGTAATTAGGGCTATTAAAAATTTGGTGGCCATCGGACGTCCTAGATGCTGTCAAATGACCATGGTTCATTTAAAGTAGGGCTTAAAAAAATATCATAGAGCTAATCAATGCTAATAAAGTGTTTGATAAAATGACTAAATCAAAACGTGTATAATGTGTTCTAGATTCGAAATGGGATGTAAGATTACATTGACACTTAAAAACTAGAAGGTTTTTTTGGCTACATACTAGAAGTGTTGTTTGATTTTTGAAAAACTATCTGGGTCTAATATTTTGTTGATTTTGGACGAATATGTCCCCGTTGGATATCCGTGGGTCAAGCGGGTCGGGGCGGGGGTTGGGGCAGGTTGAATAGTAGTGGGGGATGGGGCACGGGTGGGGGCGAAGTTTTAGACACGGGATGGGGGAGTGAACCCACGTCCAACCCCGCCCACCCGTCCATTGACATCCCTAACCTCGACGCAGCAACCCTAGTCACACCTAAACAAGCGCTCCATCGAAGGCGACAACGGATGCGGCCATATATGATCGAGTAAATATTAGGTTAGATCTTCATTCCAATTGAGTTTTAAGGGGGGAGGGCGGCGACAAAGAGCAGTTTGAAAAAGACAATAATCTGAGTTGCAGGAGTGTTGAATATTTGAAAAAGAAGATAATATGAGTTGCAGCGGCGTCAGCCAAGACAACAGATGTGATGGCGATGCAAAAGTGACGACCTCAAAGAAGCAGTAAAGTGGCATTAGCGGCTCTCTCAGTGACAGCGACGCCTCTCTCTCGGGCTCCAATTGTGCACACTCTATTGAGCTCCAAGGTCATTGATGAGATGAAAAACCAAATGCTAATTAGGGTTGGGCATTTTGGAATTTTTAAACATTTTTTGTTCAGAATTAAAGTCGATCCTATTTTTATCCATTCCAAACTTGATAGTATTCTTTTTGTCAATATATTTTCTATTAAAAGTTGATTAAATATTTTTAAACTACAAACTTTGGTCAAACGCAAAGCATAACAAGTAATTAACAATTGCATATGTAAGCAATCAAATAATATATAACAAGTAAAATGCATTTAAAATACTAAAAGGTGATAGAGTTGTCGATGTGTATAAGAAGTCTGAATAACTATATACTATCACTATGTGCATAAAATATATGTGGTATTAGACATATGTACATCAGGTTACCGTATTTAGTGGGAGGTTTCGAGTTCGAAACCCGCTAGACACATAAGGGTTTGAAACTCAATGGAGTGAGTTTCAACTCTGATTACTCCAGGCCCCCTCCCCCAGACCCCTCTGGAGTAAAAAAAGAAAAGACATGCACATCAGGTCAATCATGATATTATGCATAATACATTGCAAAATGTGCAAAAAACATATAAAAAGTGTGTCATTCTTATATATGTGAAAAATGCACAATTAAAAACATAAAAAGGCAAAATTTATTAAATACAAATTTCTGATATACATACGCTAACCATAATGTAATCAATATAACAAAATGCAAAAATCATATGTTAAAGTGCAGAATTAAAACTATTTAGGAGTGGACATATATTCACGATCGAATTTCGAATATAACATATATAAATCAAAAGTGTATAATTAAAATCATAAAATGTGTATTGTTAGGATCATAAAAGTGCATACATTGGTTCAATAGAATGACCTAGAAATAAAAAATAATTATTATATTCAATATCCTATAAAAATTTGTTGTAATTCTTAAAAAGAAATGAATATCTAAATGGAAGAACAAAAAAAGCAATTAGTAAATATAAAACTCGTTTGGTATCCCTATTTTTCGGCTTACCAGGCTTATCAGCCATTTTCACCAAACACGTAAATTTTTGATTTTGTGCGCTGAATTGTGTAATAATAAAAAAAGTATGGTTAAACTTACTTTTCTGACTGTATTGACTGGAGTTACTATAGAAGACCATTTTAGCTATTTTTCATATAACTGTTTTTTTATTTTATTTATAATAAAATATATTTTAAATATAATTTTTTTTAAAATTTCAGCGGAATCAGTTGATTTAGCCAATTTGATATTACCAAATGAACTCACAAGGTTAGAGTAACTAAATAGGAAATGTATTCAATGCACCAAAAAAATAGGATCCTTACTATTAGGATGTACTGAATGCACAAAATGAGATGAGGTGAATTCTCAAATTTGCCCAAGTAAACTCTCCATAATCCTCCCCAACATTTGATCAATCTAATAGTTAATCATTATTCTTATTTCTCTATTTATATTGCTTTCTCATTTGAACGAAAACTTATATATATAGGGTTGGGTTCTGAAATGATTATATGAAGACATCTTAATTGGAGAAGTAGGGAGTTTCAAATTTACCTCTTTTCTATAAACTTTCGCTAATCTGATGCAGTTTTCACTGCATCTTGAGACATTTTTTAAATATTTATGGTACTTCTCTGTCATCATATCTTACTCCATAAGTCCGTATATATACGAAGTATATCGGTTCCAGAGCAACCCAAAGAGTGTCTTCTATAATGGCTACAAAGGACGGAGGTTCAGAGGAGACATGAGTTCAGGGTTTCCACACCGGTCGAATCTCCGCCCCCAAAGAAACTGAAGACAACAACACACGGAGGATCTGAATGTGTCTCCAACAAAGAACAAGATGCATTCTACGTCAGTAAGAAGATTCCGCAAAGCCCGCATCAAAGATAAGGAATTTGATCGACAGTCTGGAGCAAGGGGTTTGAAATAGACTGGGATGAATTTGACTACATGTTTGTGTATTCCTTGAGTTTATGTATTTATGGAGTATATGACTATGAATCATGTAGGGAACTTCCAGACATTGAACCAAGAATATGCTATTCTACCTCATTTGTAAAACAAAAAAAATGGTTCAAGAGAGAAATGTATATAATATGAGAAATAAGAATGGATTTCAACGGTTGAACATGGACTTGTTTTAGTGTAAAATGGAAAAATTCAAATCCTAGTGGAAGCTGTGCAACATAAAACTTATTCTAGAAGAATATCGTAAATCCAACGATTGAATTTCATTCTTATTTCTCACATTATATTCATTTCTCACTTAAACCAAAATACACACACACATAAGTATCATATGAGAATACTATCTTAGGAGAGAAATGAGAATGATTTTGAATCGTTAGATTTAGATATCGTGTATCATGTAAAATAGAATTATGCATATAAAAAAATGGAAAATGTGCATTTCAATTGTGTAAAAGATTAAACGTAAATGTGCACATTTGAATTTTGTGTTACTTTAACTATAAATGTGAATTTTGTGAACGATAAAGTGCATCATTTTGAGTGTTCTCATTTCTCACGTTAAGGAGTGTTCTCACCGGAATGACACCCAGGAGCAGTTCCAGTGAGAAAGCACTCCCAGGAGAGAAATGAGAATAAATATGCATGATTGGATTGTATTATGTGACACTAAATTGTGTATTGCATGAAACTGAAATGTGCATTAATGAAATTGAAATGTGCAGAATAAAAGATATAAATCAAATGTGCTTGAGGTGAAATTGAAATGTTCAGAATAAAAGGTACAATTTGAATTTCATATATCAATTTCACATATCTGTTTCACCTCAAACACATTTCAATTTCACATAATGCATAATTCAATTTCATCTAATGCATATTGAATTTCACCTAATGCATATTGAATTTCACATAATACAATCTCACGATCCAAACTCATTTATCTCCTAAAATCGTTTTCTCATTTGAACCTAATTTTGTGTGTGCTACTTGACGTCTTGTACATATTTTTTACATCCATCCAAATAGGATTTCCCCCCCAATTTAATGCTAATTAAATAAATAATTTCCAAAATATTGTTGGGTTAAAAATAATTCCCAGAATACTGCTGGAATAAACCAAACAATATTTTTGGGAATTGTTTTTAAGCCAACAATATTTTGAAATTTATTTATTTAATTATCATTAATTTCGAGAAAAACTCTCCAAATAGAGGTATTGTGAGATTATTTTTTCTTAAACGGAATGACTTGTAATATTACCAACTGTGTTGTGGTTTTAAAATACTTTCCTCCGGTCCTAAATAAACTTCACACTTTCCATTTTGGGTAGGTCCAAATAAACTTCACACTTCTTCTCCCTTCCTTATTTGGCAAATTATCTACATCAAAACAGTGCAAAACAGTGCCAAACAGTGCCAAACAGTGTCACAACAGTGTACTTTACGGTAAAGTCAAATTTATTTCCTTAATTTGTGTGAATTCAAAGTGTGAAGTTTATTTAGGACCAGAGGGAGTATCATTTAACTAATGTGCTGTTAAGTTATTTCATAACTTTAGCATTCATAATACAAAAACTCTGTTATTTCACCAAACAGATTTTTAGATATAAAAAACGTCCAGCCTTACTAACAAACTTGGACCGTACACTTTGAGAAAGTACATTTTTTCTTATACCATTGATGCAAAACATATTGGAAAAGAAAACACAACCAAATTAAAGAAATTACCACAAACCTCACAAACTAAGTAGCATGATAAATTCAATCAAAGTGAAAAGGGTACAGTTGCAACTTCACTTGCAAATAGTGTGATCTAATAATAATATACGTAGTATGATATACGTGGAAATGTGGAATTAACATTTAACCGGTATTCCTCATACCGGCAGCAATCCCATTGATGGTGATGAGCAAAGCATCTCTAAGCTTATTGTTATCTGTATCCTGCCTTAACCTCTTCAATATCTCCACCTGTAAAATATTCATCGGATTCAGATAAGGTAGCCTACTCTCAATCAACCTCCTAAGGCTCCGGTTATTCTCAGAGAGCTTCTCGTGCCCTGTCACCAAAAGCACATACTTCTCTGTCGTCAAAAGCTCTCCCCTCAAGTCAGCGCCTAGTTTTTGTCTGCTTGGAGATACCAACACTTCATCATAGTGCTTCGCAATGGGAATATCCGCTTTCCCGAGAACCATCTCTATGAGATCAACGGTTGACTGAAAAAATGGCCAATCTTTGTACATTGCACGTAAATCTTCAGTGTACCCTTTTTCGCAAACGCCCTTAAGGCCTGCTCCAACCCCGAGCCAAGAGGGGAGGACAAACCTTGTTTGAGTCCACGCAAATATCCATGGAATAGCCCGGAGATGTCCTATTCCTGCCGTGTTTTTTCTTCTTGTTGGTCGGCTTCCAATGTTGAGATATCCAAGCTCGGCTTGTGGGGTGGCTTCGTGGAAGTAAGCAAGGAAGTCTGGGTTTTCATATACGGTGCTTCGGTAATTATTACAGCTAATTTTGGAGATTTCTTCCATCAGGTTACGCCATTTCTCTTCGCGTGGTGGTTGGGGTGGGCGCAAGGTGGCAAGTAGTACAGCTGTTGTGTAGATCTCAAGCTGCCTAACCGCAACCTGGGGTAGTCCAAACTTTGCTTGAACCATTTCTCCTTGTTCTGTTGACCGGACTGTTCCCTGTGACAATTTTAGTGCGGGATATTTAGATTCAACGCTTGCTAAATGCTAGAGGATACTGGATATGGCTTCCACTTCCATGAAAGGATGTAATAATATGTACTCCCTCCGTCCCCCAATTAAGTTCTCGGTTTGACTTCACACATATTAAGAAAATAAATTTGACTTTACTATGGAGTGCACTGTTTTGCACTGTTTGGACACTGTTTTGCACTGTTTGGACACTGTTTTGCACTGTTTTGATGTAGATAATTTACCAAAAAAGGAAAGTAAGGAAGTGTGAACTTAATTTAGGGACTACCCAAAAAGGAAAGTGGTAACTTAATTGCGGGACGGAGGGAGTAGTAATTAACTAATTACTATGTATTATTAAGCAAGAAAGTTTCATATGGACCAGGTTTACGGACAGGAGGATCTCCCGAGGGATATTCTTGGTGCTATCAAGTTTAATATTTTAGGAGTTTCTCATATTTGTAATAGTTTTTAATTCTTTTTGGTTTTGGAGGGCTTGTTGTTTCCTCTCCTCTCTAATGTTGTATTTCCTTCACGATTAATAAAATTCTGGTTAAAAAGAAAAATCATATGGATTGAGTAGGCATAATAGCAGTTTGAACTTTGAGGCTTTAGAGCAGAGTTATTACTAAATCGTCCATGACTTTTAATCCAATCAAGCAAATGGCTTTGTAAGTATGAACAGTTGAACACTTTAAATGCATTCTCATTTGATAAGGAATGATTGTATAATTTGAAATTTTGAACCAGCCCTATAAAAAAATATGAGTACGGTGTGTAGGTATCTGTATATATATAAAGATTTAAGAGTCACATTTTACCAAGGTACAACTTTTTATCGAGTAAAGTACAGCTCTTTAACTTATAAGTCAAACACTCCTATATTGAAAACATTTTGTATGACCTGCCTGAATCTATCACATTCAAGTATTAAACTTGTTAGTTACTTAATTTTGGCAAAACCCTTGAAAGATTTAACTTCATTTGATCAAACAAGAATCTTTTTTTGATGAAAAAGAACTTTGGAATCAGGACTCTATAGGACGTAGAGAGTATATTTTAAATTTTATATGTCATTTAATTTAGATTAAGCACAAAAGTTAAATAAAAAAAATTGTTCATTATTTTTAAAATTCGTAAAAAAAATTACTATGTAATATTCTTGGGTGATTGATTACAAAACAAATACATGTACATATTTTTGAAGTTTTTTAGTACATACTTTGAGCTTAAATAATGAAAGACTTATTTAAGCTTAAATAATGAAAGCCTCGTTGAAGTCTTAGGGTGTATTTGGGAGTTGGGTTTTGGAGGGGAGGGGAAGGTTAATGGGGTTTATGACCCTCTTTTTCATGTTTGGGAGTTTAAAAAATTGGTGGGGATGGTTTTGTAGGGTTTTTGTAACCCTTCAAAACCCTCCAAATGCTTAATTTTTAAGTTCCCCCAATTTGGAGGGTTTTGGAGGATAATTAACAAGATGGTAATTTAAGCTAAATTAAAAATGAATATCAGCTCAATGATTTGAATTCGTCATATCTGAAGGTGATTTTAATTACTCCCTCTGTCCCGAAAAGGTTCACCAACTTTGACTTTCACGTGGATTAATAAAGTAAAAACTGTGTGGTTGAAATTTGTGCAGAGGAGAGAGGAGAATTAACTTTAACCACATATTCCTTACTTTAAATGGAAATGGCAAATCTTTTTGGGACATCCAAAAAAGGAAATTTGGCAAACCTTTTCGGGATGGAGGGAGTATAATTCTTTCAAAAACCTCTTCCAAATTTATTACTCCCAAATACAAAGAAGGGTTTCCTCACCCTCCCCTCCCTTTCCCCTCCAACAACATACCTCCAAAGTCTTCCCCTCCCCTTCCCTTCAAACTCCCAAACATACCCTTAGGTTATGTTTGGGAGATAGGTTTTGGAGGGGAGGGGATGGTTGAGAAGGGTTTATGACCCTCCCTTTCATGTTTGGGAGTTAAAAAAAATGGAGAGGATGGTTTACGAGGGCTTTTGTAACCCTCCAAAACCCTTCAAATGCTCAATTTTCAAGTTCCCCCAGATGGGGGATTTTGAAGGATAACTAATTAAATGCCAACTTTAGCGCAATTTCAAATAAAAATAAATTCAACTATTTGAATTCGTCATATATGTGAAGTGATTTTAATTATAATTCATCCAAAACCCCAATATTTTCAAATTTGTTACTCCCAAACAAGAAGAAGGGTTTCCAACCATTTCCCTCCCCTTCCTTTTCATTGACTAACCTTATCTTCCACTCCCCTTCCCTTCAAACTCCCAAACATACCCTTAGTTGAACTCTTTAGTATATCCTTTATCATTTTCAGTATATGCAATTAGCTTAAATAACAATTAAGTGTTACACAGAAGTGTTGAGCACAGAGAGCTAGGGGAGGGATCAATTTTGGAAAGAAAACTTACCATAACAGAACCAGGTGGCTGGGATTGAATGGCAAGGTAAGTGGGACCACCGCCCCGGCCAATGCTCCCTCCGCGTCCATGGAACAAAGTGACCTTAATACCATGTTCATTACATGCAGCTATCACATCTTCTTGAGCTTTATAAAGCTCCCATGCGGCTGTAAAACGCCCCGCATCTTTCCCGGAGTCAGAATAACCAACCATCACCTGTTCACAAACGCAGCTTGCGGCATAAGCAAGGAAGTACACAATAGTCAATCCAATAACACACCAAGATTCAAGTGTTATTAGGTACCTCTTGATGTCCATTATGATTCTTTTTTATGTGGTCTCGGTACCAGTCGATCGATAGTAGCTTCCTGATCACTGAACCAGCTTCTCTTAAATCCTTCACAGTTTCAAACAGTGGAACCACCCGTAGTCTATTCATCCAAATATATGAACAAATAGAAATCAGTTCTACTAGTTCAATAGAAATTAGAAATGACTTTCTTTAATTTGTTACTTCGTGTATGAGAACATGAGGCATAGAAAACTTAGGGTATGTTTGGATTCCGGAGAATACCGAGGAAAACGATGTTAAAGGAAGTTATTTTCATGTGTTTACCTCATAAAACGCAAACATTAATTAAAGTTTTTAGTTTACCATGTGTTTGAATTTCTTAGAGCTTGTATGGATGACTGCAACAAGTGCTTTTATACGAACTTTTATCTCATTTAAGCACTAAAACTGTTATTTTTCAAAAATCTCCTATTTTGTGCTTTGTTAAATAAGCACAGGTCAAAGGTGCTATATTTCCTCTCCAAATGCTTCCTTTTAGTAAAACTACCTTCGTTTCCTTATTGCCTATTAACAAAAGCCCTCATTCTTTGAAAATAAGTCATCCCAAATGTACTCTTTCTTAATAGAAGAAATATAGGTAAATAAAATTGAGTTTGATTACATTTAAAGAATAGATTCAAGGATTTAGAAACCCTGGACCCGTGTTTTGGGTTCCAAATAGACCCTTAGGGTGTGTTTGGGAATTGGGAGTAGGATTTTGGGGGGGAGGGGAAGGGATGGGAGGGCGAATGACCCTCCATTTTGTGTTTGGGAGTTTACAAAAATGGGAGGAAAGGCTTAGGGATATTTTACAACCCCCCAAAACCCGTCTTTTTCGGTTCCTCCGAATCGGGAGGTTTTAAGGGTTTAAGCACTTGAGTGACTATTTTATCCTTCTCTGCTATACAAACTGACGATCGGGTATGTACTCCTATGCGTGAAATTCTTCGCACATGGAACCCTAGCTATCTGATCTGCTGCCGATCCTCAGCTATCTCCTTCGCACCTTCACCTTTCATCCTCAGCTATCTCAGGTATGTTTTCTCTCTGGTTGAACGATCCGTCCAAGCTGTTTTCGTATTTCGTGAAATTGGCTACATTGTTGGGACTGAACTGATTCGAACTTCTCCTAGAATATAGGATTCGTTCAGAATAAAGACAATAAAAACGAAAAAGAAAGGGTGAGAGGGAAGAGGTAGAGGGAAGACAATAGGTTATGTCACTTAGCACTTGACGTAAAAGAAACTCCAGGAGGGAAGGCCGGGATTGAAGCTGCTTTTGTAGCAAATTTCTCTAGAAGTGACCTTAATAGGGGAAGATTGATCGAACAACACTGCTAATTTTTCAGCCTGGTTCTAAAACTATTTATAGTGCTCTCACACTCCTTCACCAATTTAGAAACCAAATCAGAGGTGAAGAAGGGTTGTTGAAGAACTTTTTTAATGAAAGGAAGGTGTATCTTTGTCAAGCCTGTGTAGTTAAGATTGCTGTAGTTTATTAGAAGAATCATCTCCCCATGAAAATCGATAATGTCTTTCCTGATGTTCATCATTTCTTCCATGTGATATGGCCCCTGGTTATTAACAACTGGTTTGCTCTGCAAAGGAAATGCTAGGTTTCATGGTTCATTTGTTTTTATTTTTAAATTTTAGTTTTTAAACTGTTTATCTTGTCTAAGTTCCTTTGTATTTCATGGAGATGAGGTTTCTTCTTTTCACTATGTGACCCAAATTTTCACTCGCAGAAGTGTTGTTTTGTGTGTTTATTCATCATTTTCTTAATTATAGTGCTGGTGATTACAACCAGTGCCCTCAAAAAGGTTTTTGGGTTTTGAAGAAGAATGGATCAAAACAGTATTGGTCTAAAATGTATAGGATTTACATTGAGACTGTCACGTGGTTCTGGCCCATGAGGGACTTAGAATCACTGGAAGCCTTTTAAGTTGAAAACAAGAGTGTTTTAAAATTATTTTTCAGTATACTATTAATTTTTATTGATGTCTTTGCAACTGTTTATCTTATCAATAGTTTTAATATATATACCGTCCCTTTGATGAACATGCTTGAGATACTGAGATTTTTTATTTCTTGTTAACTTCTTAAAATAATAGTTAAAATAACTTTCATAATGCACAGTTCTGTATTGTGAATGTTTTGGCAGAATGAAAGTTTTGATAGTACAATGACTTTAACTAGCATGCTTGTTTATCTGGGATTTTGTTTTTTTGATGTATCTGTTTCTTCCATTTTCATAATTAAGTCTTTCTTAAGTTCTTTTTTGCATATTTTGAGATGAACAAACAAAATAGCAATCAGAATTTTTAATGAAAAAACAGTCCCTAGCTAGCATTGTTAAGTGTTTGTTTTTTACTAGAAATATGTTAGTGCAGAATTGTTGGAAGAAATCTAGAAATAGCAAGCTTAGGATGCACTTTTTCTGTAGTTTGAACAATTCAGAGGCTCCCCTAGAGCCAAAGTTTATCTTATCAATTCAGTCATCTTCACTTTTTTGTTTGTTGTTAAGTTATTAAAATTATAATTTCAATAATAGTGGTAAAAGTGATGACAAATGTATTTTGTTTATTTAATTATTACTTGCAAGTTTCGGATATTATATTAACGAAATTTTCTTTTTGGTTGCAGACCATATTAGTGAAGGCAAGTGTGTGAAAGTCGAGCTTATTTGGAGTGCATTGACTTGTTTATGTTATTGATTGGAATGCGCTAGATTAATATAACTGCTAGTACTTGAAATAAAATGTGAAACATAATACGCTGAGATAATAATGTCCTAGAATTGTTGAAGTTAATTGTCTTCTTTTTTATTTTCATTTTTCATTTCGCTATAATTTTTTGTCAAAAGTATGGGTATATAGTAAGTTTTTAGATATATTATACTTCAATTATTTAAAATATTAAACATTTTTTTTGAATAAAATAATTTTTTGTTTGCTGAAGTGAAATTGAAATGTGAATTTAAATATTGTTATTGTTTAAATAAACATTATGATGTTTTAACAAAAAATATGAGTTCGTTTTCTGACTATGTTTTTTTACTTATTCGCTTACTAGTCATTTTTTCATTAAGTACGTAATTTTTTATTTTGTGCGCTGAATTATATAATAATAAACTGATTTTGTTATTTTCATAAATTTTTTATTTCGAATTTGGTATCACCAAACATGCTCTTTATGATTATATATGTAAATATTGAATCAATTTTTCAAGAAAAAAATCAAAACAACTAGTAATCTAAACAATAAAAAATATAACATCCAATGTACTATAATGTTTATACAATGAGAAAGGGGTACATGTGTCATTTTAATTATATGTACTCCAAAACCCTCCTCTTTTGAAAATTGTAACTCCCAAACAAAAGGAGGGAATCCCTTCCCATCTCCCTCCCCTTCCCTTCCCTCTACTCCCCTTGCCTTCCCCTTCCCTCACCCTCAAACTCCCAAACACACCCTTAGTAAAACAGTTTGTGGTCGTTTCCATAAATAAAGTAATATGTCAAGAACACTTGAGTAATTTTTTAGAAGCATTAATAGAGAGAATGACAAAATAATGTATGCTTGGTGCAAGTGTTTGCGTTTAATGTAGATTTGTTTTCTTTAACTAAAAAAACCGAACGGAGGGAAGCAATCCAAAGATTGGAAGCAGGACACAGCTTGGGTGTTTGATAGATAAGTGTATGTTTCTAAAATCACATTCCAAATACCATAGATTTTCATGTGATTTCTAAGATGGTGTAGAAGGGAGGACACAGGTCCGAAATTTGGATCTGTCAGACCTGCTCCGGATTGAACTCATACGAACTGCTTCTTTTATCCCACTTCTTCGCCTGGAGCATAGATGAGCAGGCCATTTTTGGGGCGTACGGATTGAAGCAATCTGAAGAGGTAATTTTCTTGATGTATTAAATATTTGTTCTTTGAAACTTTGGGAGCGAGTGATTGAGCAAAGACTTCGAAGGACTGTGAAGATTTCAGAGAATAAATTCGGTTTTATGCTTGGTCGCTCAACAACTGAGATCATTCACCTTCTTCGGCAACTTATGGAGAAGTATAGAGATGCTCATAAGGATCTGCATTTGGTGTTCATTGACTTAGAAAAGGCATATGATAGGGTACCTCGAGAAGTTCTTTGGTGGGCCTTAACTAGGAAAGGCATATCACGCAAGTATATTAGCATCATCATGGATATGTATGAGGATTGTACTACAAGTGTTCGTACTAGTGTAGGGAGGACTGAAGAGTTCCCTATTACTCTCGGAGTGCACCAAGGATTGGCCTTGAGTCCTTTCTTATTTGCCATAGTCATGGATGAACTTACGAAGTCAATTCAAGATGATATACCGTGGTGCATGATGTTTGCCGACGATATTGTATTGATTGATGAGACGCAATCAGGTCTTAAAGCAAAGTTAGAAGTATGGCGACAAACATTGGAGAATAAGGGTTTCAAACTAAGTCGAAGCAAGACAGAGTACATGGAGTGCAAGTTTGGTGGAGGTAGAAGTGGTGGTAATAGCGGAATTACTCTGGATGGTAAGGAGATACCAGTCAGCGATATGTTCCGTTACTTGGGCTCCATAATTCAGAAGGACGGTGAGTTAGATGGAGATGTATCCAATAGAATCAGAACAAGGTGGATGAAGTGGAAGAGTGCGTCAGGATTTCTATGCGACCGAGGTATGCCGACTAGACTGAAGGGTAGATTTTATAGGACAGCAATTAGGCCTGCATTACTGTATGGCGTAGAGTGTTGGGCGGTGAAACAATGTCACATTCAAAAGATGAGTGTGGCAGAGATGCGCATGCTGCGTTGGATGTGTGGGCATACTAGGAAGGACCGTATGAGGAATGAGACAATCAGACAAAGGGTGGGAGTAACACCTATTGAAGACAAGATGTGGGAGTCGCGCCTACGGTGGTTTGGTCATGTGCGTAGAAGACCGAGTGATGCACCTGTTAGGCGAGTTGAGATGTGTGGAGAAGATGCAGGAAAGAGAGAGAGAGGAAGACTCAAACAGACGTGGGTTAGGGGAGTTCGAAGTGATATGCTTCTTCTGGGGTTGGATGAGGGCATGACTTT